TGTTTGCACTGAGGCATACTACATGCCTTGAAAATCATAGGAGCTTAATAAATGTTTCTCAAGTTGAATCATGCAGTTGTGTGATAGGCAAGTTATTTAACCTCCTAGAGTCTTAGTTTCTTTGCTTGTAAAATGGGGGTTATGATATTTTCAATTGAATTCCTCACAAATTCATTAATAGTTCACTATTTCACATGGTCACTGTATGGAAAATACTTTGAAAACCTTAAATTGCTATGTAAGTATGATTTAAAAAATTGTATCAACAAAGGAAAAAGCTGGAGGTCTCACAAGATAAGAGCCAAATCCTATATTAAAATAACACTTGGGCTATCTTTATTTATCTAGAGAATTAGTTATTAGAGAGGAAAGCAGCTGAAATTATTGAATCATATTCTCCCTAGTGCTATCTTCCTAAGTATACTATAATGATGATTGAACTCTGGTGACTTAGAATAATTAATGCTCTTTTCCAAGTCTTATAATTTTGGATTAATTTAGAAGACACTGGGAATAATAGATCATGAGGTATACCATACAAGTTTGGTCCCTTCCAGCTGCACTACAATCCCTAACATGTCTGGGCTCCATGTGCATTTACTTATTTGCTGAGCTTACGACTATTCTAGGACCTAATGTCCAGTTGATTTTCACCCTACAAATCACCAACCCCAGCACACTTCCATCATCTACTTTATCTTCTCCCATATGTAGAGGAAAGTTTTATAAAACTATGCAGATGAAGCAGACTACAGATTCATGCCCTCTGAGTTTAATATGCCCTTATCATAGCTCAGTAATAATTTCATTAATCTCTTGTTGATTTATTCAGTCAATTAACAAGCACTGATTAAGTTGCTACAATGTCCCAGGAACTGTCCTATGATTTTTTGATGACTATAGAAAGAGTATATATTGCCTATTTGTGGTACATATGTGAATTTTGTTTTTTCATCCTGAGATAAAGGGGGGGGGTCAATTCACACATGGAGACCCTCATAACTTTGAGCCAAGAGTCAGTCTTGCCCAAAGAAACAGAAAAAAAAAAAGACAGAAACAAAGAATCAGGAATAGAGTTCTTCCCGCAGCTTGAAGAAAATTGGACTCAGATAAGACCAGTTGAGCAGTCAAGTGAAGGTGGCTTTTTTTGTTTTGTTTTGTTTTGTTTTGGCTAGGCAATGGGGTTAAGTGACTTGCCCAGGGTCACACAGCTAGTAAATGTTATGTCTCTAAGGCCAGATTTGAACTTAGGTCCTCCTGAATCCAGGGCTGGTGCTCTATCCACTGCGCCACCTAGCTGCCCCCAAGTAAAGGTTTTTAAGGATGGCAGAGACGTAGATGTTTTTATAAGCAGTAGGGAAGTAGTAGATAGGAAGAGACTGAAAATTATAGACAGAGTGGCTACTATAGAGGAGGCAATCTACTGGAGAACTTGGTGTGGATAAGATCCAGGATCTAAGTATATGGGGTTGCCTTGGCAAGTAGAAGGACTGCTTCTCCATGAGACACAAGGGTGAAGGAGTGGATAGTAGTGGACAATAATTGCATGATATGAGATGAGGAGGAAGGAAGAAAAGGGAGCCTTTGGTGAATGGTGTCTAGTTTTCCAGTGAAGTATAAGATGAGGATCTCAGCTGATAGAGTGGAGTTAGGTGCCAGAGTGGGTATTGTTGACTAATAGCTAGCTTAATTTCCCAGTAAGTTTTCATGTTTAAAAGTGATGTTTGCTAATCCAAAGCGCTAAATTTCTTCCTGTGGAATTTCTGAAAGTATGACAGGCTGGATGGGAAAGTTTAAGGAGTCAGGAGCATTTTTAGCTCTCTTGTTCAGCTTTCTTGCATACAAGTCAAGCATGACCTTTGCACTAAATCAGAAAGGTTTCAGCTCTGGAAGTTTGCAGACCAGAAATTTAGAAAATCTAGGTTTAATCCTGATTCTCTGTGAGCTAACTAGTAATTGCCATAGCCAGAATTTGGATTCAAGCCTTCTGACTTCAAGTCTAGTGCTCCTTCTACTAGACCACATTGCAGAATATAATTGTTTCTAGCACTGTCTATATTTGGTTGGTATTTTTTTGTTATTTAAAAAATACAAGCAATTCGAGATCTTAAATTGTATTATAAAACAGCAATCATCAAAACTGCTTGGTACTGGCTAAGAAATAGGGAGGTGGATCAGTGGAATAGGTTAAATATGCAAGACACAGTAGTCAATGACTATAGTAATTTATTATTTGATAAACCCAAAGACCCCAGCTTCTGGGATAAGAACCTACTCTTTAAAAAAACTGCTGGGAAAACTGGAAAAGAGTATGGCAGAAACTAGGCATAGACCCAAATCTCACACCATATACCAAAATAAAGTCAAAATGGGTTCAGACTTAGATATAAAGGTTACCATAAGTAAACTGGGAGAACAAGGAATAGTTTACCTATCAGATCTATGGAGAACAGAAGAATTCATGACCAAACAGGAGATAGAGAACATTATGAAAAGCAAAATGGATAATTTTGATTACATTAAATTGAAAAGTTTTTGCACAAACAAAGCCAATGCAACTAAGATTAGAAGGAAGGTAGAACATTGGGAAAGAATTTTTACAACCAGTCTTTGATAAAGGCCTCATTTCTAAAATACATAGAGAATTAAGACAAATTTATAAGAACACAAGCCATTCCCCAATTGATAAATGGTCAAAGGATATGAACAGACAGTTCTCAGATGAAGAAATTAAAGCCATCTATCGTCATATGAAAAAATGCTCTAAATCGTTATTGATTAGAGAAATGCAAATCAAAATAACTCTGAGGTACCATATCACACCTATCAGATTGGCCAACATGACAAAACAGGAAAATGATAAATGTTGGAGAAGATGCAGGAAAATTGGAACACTAATACATTGTTGGTGGAGTTGTGAAATGCTCCAACCATTTTGAAGAACAATTTGAAACTATGCCCAAAGGGCTACAAAAATGTACCTACCCTTTGATCCAGCAATAGCACTTCTAGGGCTATATCCCAAAGAGATCATACAAATGGGAAAAGGACCCACATGTACAAAAATATTCATAGCAGCTCTTTTTGTGATGGCAAAGAATTGGAAATTGAGAGGATGCCCATCAATTGGGGAATGGCTGAGCAAGTTGTGGTATATGAATGTAATGGAATACTATTGTGCTATAAGAAATGATGAACAGGCTGACTTCAGAAAAACCTGGAAAGACTTATATGATCTGACGCTGAGTGAAGTGAGCAGAGCCAAGAGGACTGTGTACACAATAACAGCCACATTATGCAATGACTAAGAATGTTAAACTTAACCCTTCTCAGCATTACGAGGATCTAAGACATCTCCAGAGGCCTGGGGGATGGAAAATGCTGTCCACATCCAAAGAAAGAACTATGGAAGTCAAATCGCTATCACTTATTTTTACCTTTTGTTGAGTTTTGTTTCATCTTTCTGATGGTTCCTCGTATTGGTTTTAATTTTTACTTACAACTTCACTAATATGAAAATATGTTTAATAGGAATGTAAATGTAAAGCCTATATCAGATTGTGCACCGTCTTGGGGAGGGTGGTGGGGAGGAAGGGGGAGAAAAATTTTCAACCCAAAAAGCATATGGAAGTGATTGTTGATAAATCAAAATAAATTAATAAAATTTAAAAAAATACACACTACCTTTCAGAAGAAATTTACTGATCAAAATTTAAGAAACTACTCTAGATTCATATTAGCTATCATTGCTTTAAACTCAACCCTTATTCATTCCTCACATATGCATCTCAAACGGGTTTTCTGTGTAAATGAGTACTGGGCCCGGAGTCATGAAGATCTAAGTTCAAATGCACACTCAGACACTTACTACTGTGTGACCCTGGGCAAGTCACTTAATCTTTGCCTTAGTTTCCTCAGCTAAAATGGGGATAATAATAGCACCTACCTTCCAGGGTTGCTGTGAGGATCAAATGAAATATTTTTAAAGTGCTTAGCACAGTGCCTGGCACATAGTAGGTACTTAATAAATACTTTTTCCTTCTTTTTTCCCTTTCCTTCCTATTATTGACTTCAATTAGCATTCGATCAGAAGTTCTGCCTCTTTGAGGGGTGAGAAGGTTCTTTCTTCTCTTTTCCCCTCTAACCAGATTTTATCACCAATGGCTTTTGATCCTCTTCTACAGATATTTTTGTAACCTTGCTCAACACAAGTGACAACCAAGTAGCTGTCTATTATTGCTATTAGTGTGAATTTATTATCATATTATGATTAAAATTTAGCCTGATGCAAAGTACATTTCAGGTTTTTTTAAGTACTGCATAATCTAGATGGGGTTTAAATCTATTAAATAAGTACATTTGCTGTGCAACAAACCAATTATTCCTACTGCTATTGTTCATAAATAATGGAACACTGTGAAACGAATACTTGAAGAACAGACCTATTAAAATAACACACCATTTGTGTAAGAGTTTATGCATTTAGCAGGCTTTACTGTAACTGTAAATTATTCCAGAATTGACTGCAGTGCTCCATAAACTTAATGGGTGAATAATTTGGCAAGCAGCCTGTTAAGAAAACAAAATAGGAAAAGAGTAGGAAGCCAGTACTGTGGTATAGAGGAGGAGTCTCCAGTTGGAGGATCTGGATTCAAATATTAACACTACTACTTACTGTGTAACCTTGGACAAATCCTTAACCTCTCTCTGCTTCAATTCATCTGTAAGATGAGGTGACCTAATTGGATGACCTCATAGTTCCCTTTCAGCTCCATATCTTATATGATAATTAGTGGATTTACCATTCCTATCAGTTACTGAACTGGTAGCCATTTTGCTTTGCCATACTAAATTTTATTTTTGCAGAAATTCAGCTAGAAGGTGTAGACACATAGAAGGTTCAAAGAAAAAATGCAGTGAAATATAAAGATGTTTCCTTTAAAAAAAACTTGCTGCTTGTCATATGCTGCAAAAAGTTTAGTCTTTTAAGCTTTGGAAACTCAAACCAAATCATAGTTCTTCATCCCTGGGACTCCAGCTCCTGGCTTAGTTCCATTTTGATGAAATCTGTCATTGATAAAAGAGAGTTCAAGGTTCTCTAAACCAATTAAAATGTTTTTGCCTCAGGAGGTAAATAAAAGCACATGATAGAACGAAAGCCGAGTGGAGAGTGGTAATCAGTACAGGAGTTCACTATTGAACAATTTTGAACACTATAACAATAAGACATAATAAATCATTCTGAAAGGTACATTGGATTTTTTTTTCAAGGACAAATAAAGTATACTCATGAGGATCAAATAGATGCCTCTGTTATTTTTATGGTCCCTTTTAGAAAGTATTGACAATTCTTTTTTTAAAGTAAACTTTATCTTCTACATGAAATATTCCTAGAAAAATTGGAATATTTTGAAATACATTTTGGAGTCTGGGTTTAGCATTAGGTCATTAGTATTTAGAACACATGGAGTTTTTGAGCTGTGAGGTGTCTTAAAGATCTTTTAGTTCAATCCTCACATTTTATTGATAAGGAAAGAGAAATGTTAAGGTCATTTGCCTGAGATTATACAGTTTAATTAGTGGCACAGATGGAACTAGACCCATGTCTATGTCTAAAAATATTTAAACTCCTTTTGTTATAAAACAAAATTCATTTTTAGTATTTTATGTTAGACATAGATATGATTTATTTTTCTTTTAAAAAAAACTTAAAGAAACCCAACCCTTTTCAAATGATAGGCTTAGGTTTGCCTTTAAGTTCAGTCACCAGGATCTCTTAAATTTTTGATTTCTGTCCTTGCTTGACTTGTCTAATATAATAATAGACCTTTATGCTTTTTACATCTAGATATTGTTATTACCATGAAAAACTTCTTTGAATGAATTCTTGCAACTGGTTGAATTTTATAATTATTTGTGGTTAAAAGTTTATGTAGCCACAACCAGAATAATATAGCTTTGGTAGGGACATAGGGACTTGAAAAAAACTAATATTTAGTCTTCTGGCAAAGATCCTTGGTAATAAAAAACTTAAGGAAGAGTGAAACTCTAAAGCTCACAATTCATTTGAAAGACCACAAAATATCTATTTTATGGGTTGCACACTTACATTTCAGCAAATGTCTTTGCTAATGAGATGAATAGCCTTGGTAACTAAATGAAATTTATTAACAATTCCATAGTAGTTCCTACCAACTGATTTACCCAAATGTCTTCACTGAGTTAAAAATTCCATTTCTTATATTTCTTAATCAAGGTAAAATCCACCCTGAAAATATTCATAATCAATTCAGAATACATTGAAGTTGATACTGTGTTAGAGTAGACATCACAGAGATTATGCTTTTCCATCACATAGGATCAAAACTCTGGTTTAGTTCTGTTTCTTATCTTTTTATTGTAATTTTTATTGTAATCAGGGTATTCTCCCACTGACTTCTGGGATGAGGAGTCAAATCAAGGGCTAGCAATGAGGGGAAGGTGGCCCCTGGGGTCTCAGAAAGAGAACACCTTTCAGGGGAGCGAATGAGGAGGAAGGGTAAAATATTGAAAAAGAGAATGGATAAAAAAGACCTTACTTTGGAGGTGGGAGAGGATGCCACTGGTGAAAGGAGATAAGGATCTTACACTGGATCAGGCCTGGGGGATTTAGTACCTGAAAAGCCTACTTGTCCTGGAAGGGGGAAGTGGGAACTTCTGGGAGCAACTGGAACCTAGAGGGGTGGGAAAGCATGAAAGTAGTGAGACAATTTCCAAGAAAACAGGGAAAAAGTTAATGAGAAGGTATAGATTAGTAGTGTGGAAGGGGTCTCACCATGTGGTAGTATCTCCTCTGACACTTCCAATAACTGATGTAGTTTTGGAGGTAAGGCACAATGGAAATGGGGAATCCATGGGGTAAGTCCTAAAAATCAGAGGCAGAAAATGTCTATAGAGGTGAAACTATAATGGGAGCTTTGGGAGGTTTGATTGCATTAAGAATACAGATTAAAAAAATCATATACTATGACAAAGTGGGATTTATAGCAGGAATACAGGGTTGGTTCAGTATTAGGAAAATTGTGAGCATAATTGACCACATCAATAACAAAAACAACAAAAATCCTGTGATTATCTCAATCAATGCAGAAAAAGCTTTTAATAAAATATAATACTCATTCATATTAAAAACTTTAGAAAGCATAGGAATAAATGGAGCTTTCCTTAAAATGATAAGTAATATTTATCTAAAGCCATCAGCAAACATTACTATAATGGGGATAAGCTAGAAGCTTTCCAGTAAGATCAGGAATGTTATAAGGATGTCCATTATCACCACTATTATTCAATATTATACCAGAAATACTAGCTATAGCAATTATAGCAATAAGAAGGTATTAAAATGGGCAGTGAAGAAACAAAACTATCACTCTTTGCAGATGATATAATGGGTATACTTAGATCATCCTAGAGAATCAGTTTAAAAAAGAAGTTGGAAGAATTAACAACTTCAGTAAAGTTTCAGGATATAAAATTTGTTGTTGTTCAGTCGTGTCTGTGGACCATAGTGTGGCAGGTCCTTCTGTCCTTCACTATCTCTCAAAGTCTGTCCAAGTTTATGCTTATTGTTTCCATTATACTATCTATGCATCTCATCCTCTCACATCCCCTTTTCCTTTTGCTTTCAATCTGTCCCAACATCAGGGTGTTTTCCAGTGAGTCCTATTTTCTCATTATGAGGCCAGAGTATTTCTGCTTCAGCTTCAGTGTTTGGCCTTCCAGTGAATAGTCTGAATTAATTTCTTTAAGTATTTACTTATTTGATCTCCTTCCTGTACAAAGGACTCTCAGAAATCTTATCCAGCACCACAATTTGAAAGAGTCATTTCTGTGGCAGTCAAATTTTCTTATAGTCAAATTCTCACAGCCATACATTGCTACTGGAAAAAATAGCTTTGACTATATAGATCTTTGTTGGCAAGGTTAAGTATTTTTTTCCCTTTTGCAATCCCAGTGCCTAGCATAGTATCTTGCACAAAGAGGATAAATATATTAATGCTTTAATTGTTTGATTAAGAAAAAAAGTTATTATGGAGACAAGGTAGTATTGCATAGTAGAAGAAGAGTTGGTTTCAGACTCATGAAGACCTAAGTCTAAGTCCTGCCTCTGTGTGGTCAGAACAATGCCCTAATCCATCCCTATATGGAAGTTAGGCTAATTTTCCTTTTAAAATGATTTAGATTTTCCTTGAGTCAACTTGGTTGGCTCAGGGTGCTAAAGATTCAGGGTATTGACATCACTTCCTGGATGTTGGAGTACAAAGTGGCCAGGAGGAGCTCCTGTTGCTTGGTCAGTGTTGACCAAGATGGGCAACTCAAGCAAGGTGAGCTTCAGTCAGCTGGATTAACTTGAGGTGTTCCTCAGTGCCTATCAATGCATTGTTGAACTTCTTTCTCCTGCTCCCAAGTAAATTCTTTTTTTTTTTAAATTGTTGAATGGGGAAGGAAATAAGGGAATAAACATTTCTTTATTAAGCATTTATTTTGTGCCAGACACTGTGCTAAGCATTTTACAAATAGTATCTCACTTGATAATCCTTATAACAACCCACTATTATTATTCCCATTTTACAGTTGAAGAAACTAAGATAGACAAAGGTTAAATGTCTTGCCCAGAGTCACATAGTTAGCAAGTGCCTGAGGCTGGATTTGAACTGAAGTCTTGACTCCAGGCCTAGTGTTTAATTACATAGAAAACCTGTAAGAGATACAAACGTGAGGAATGAAAAAGGCCAGATTTAAATGTGCTGGTAACCAAAGTGAATCTAGAGTAGTCTGTTAAATTATGATCAGTAAATTTCTTCTGAAGGGTAGCATGTGTATTGACATATTTTTAAAAATGCTGACCAAATGTAGGCCAAGTTTCTAGTATGAGTTTTACTCTAAAATGTCGTTGTCTGTGATCAAGTGAGTAAAAGTTCTTGGATACCAGAAATGATTATACTTTGCAATATGATTTAAAAGAAAGAGTACCAGGCTTGAAGTTAGGAGGCCTGGATCCAAATCCTGGCTCTATCAATTACTAGCGATTTCATGACAGAACCAAGATTTCTAATCTAGTGCAAGGGTAAACCTGATTTGTAGGTGGAGCAAGAGAGTTGCCTATGTGAAGGCTGGATAGAACTCAGATCTTACTGGCTCCAGGCTCAGTGCTCTATCCACTATGCCACCTACCTGCCTCTAGGCATGAATGACCCACAAGTGTCTCATTTGTTCTAATATTAAACCTAAACCACCAGGGAACTAGCCTGAGTTTTAAATTCAGCCACTAGCTGTGTGACTGGAAAAGTCTCTTAAACTCTTACTCTCTGGACAACTCTGTATTGTAGGGGTTCTTAACTTTTGAGTCCATGGACCCTGAAGGGGAATTCACAGGCAGATTTTAAGGGGTTAATGAACTTGAGTGGGAAAAAATTACAAATTTATTTTTACTAACTTCTAATGGATATTTAGCACTGCTCTAAATTATGAATTAAAAACAAATATGATTCTGAGAAGGGTTCATTAACTTCAATAGACTTGCAAAGGGATCTGTGACACAAACAAAAATCGTTAAGAATCCCTAAGTGTCTAAGACTATAAATAGCAGAGAAGGTTGTTGACTGAATTTGGTAGGGGGAATTGCTTCATTCAGGAGTTCACATTAGTCTAGCACCTGTCCCTTTAACATAAAAGTCTAGGTCATTATTTCTTTAGCATGAGAGAGGACCAGAATTTTATACACCCAGAGATGTAGTTTAAAATGTCCCTGGAGCTAATTTAAAAAAAAAAATCTGGATACTCCCTAAATTGGAACAAGTCCAATCATACTTCTCCACATGTGAGATTCATATCCATGTAATCCTGTCAATTCTCCATAGAGGAATTCCTTCTGCTGGAAGCCGTCCTCTGGTGCCTTAATTTTTTTTTCAATGAACAAAAGTCTATTTTCTCTTTCTTGCATTTCCTACTCCATTGGAGAAGTGGGGAAAACAAAGAAAAAACCATGTAACAAGTGTACATAGTCAAGCAAAAAAAAAATTCACATTGGCCATCTCCAAAAAATACACGTTTCATTCTGCATTTTGATCCCATCTGCCTACCATTACAAGGTGAGTAGCATGCTTTATCTTTGGTTTTCTAGAATCATGGTTGATCAATGCGTCACAGTTCTTAAGCCTTTCAAAGTTGTATTTACAATGTTGTTGTTATTGTAGAAAGTGTTCTCTTGGTTCTGGTCACTTCACTATCCATTAGGTATACCAGGGCAACAGCCTTTGTCCATCATTCATCTCTTTTGCTACATGACCAATTGATCTCCTTTTAAGTATACATTTCCCCATTGATATCTTGATACTGCTTTTAAAGTTCAAGCCATTATTTGTTTATATCCTTCATAGTCCCCTGTCAATGATTTACAGACACATATCAACATTAGTACTAAAATCATGAGCTTTGATTGCAGCAAACAGCTTAGCATTATTAAAAACACTGCAAAATTTCCTGAATATGCCTTGGTCCTAAACCAAATCTGGTCCTTCTTACCATCTTTGTGGACAGAAGCATTTCTGTAGCCATGGCCACTCATGTATGATAATGAAACAATAATGGCTGGTGTAACAGGATAGTAAAATGGGAGAAAGTTGAGTTGGCTAGAGATAGCATTTCAATAAAGGAACTAGAAAGATAAGGGTATTAAATGGACAAATGGTTTTCTAAACCACTACAATGTGGAAACCTCCCAAGAGAAAGGATACTATCTTATGATTTAGGAGTGAACTAGAAAGAGAAAAGATTCTTTTGGCCTGAAATATGGTAAGAGATGGACTCTGTGTTGTGATCAAATAGGACTGTGAGTAAGAAAATGTTCCTGTCACAATTGAGTTCAATTAGCTCTTGCCCTTGCTTATGAAAGGCTAAAAATTGAATTTTCTATATTTCACAAGGGACTGTCAAGGTCAAGGACTGACTTCTTTGGCAAGTCAGGGAAGAGAAGTTGTCACTGTATCAGACTCTACTTTGGATTCTGCATGTGGCAGCTTCTGTTTCTATGTTGCCGCTCCCTTGACCTTCACAGATATTAATGTAAATGTTCATCTTTGATAAGAAAAAATAACCAGAGATACAACCCAAAATTTAATTAACTCTATTGTGATAAACAACAACGACAACAACAACAAATCCCTGTCCCCAGCATTGAAAAACAGTAGAAATACTGTGTGAGCATTTAAGGAAGAATTCTCAAAAATCTGTTTTTTCCCCAACAACACTTTCACAGAGATATTATCTATGAAAAATATTTGTATGCTCTTCTGGCAATACAAAGTTCAATGAAGAGAAGATATCAAATTAAAGGTCAGACAAAATTTGATTTTTCCCACCATCTTTAACCCTGACAATGTGGTATAATTTTAGTTATGTTTTGATTTTCTACTTGAAGCATGTTTTAAATGAAAAAGATGAGCCTTCCTTAGTTTCCCTAAGAGTAATAATATGCTTTGTGGAAATTTTCTTGCTACATTTTTGGCTTTTGGGATCTATCCATTTTAAACTTTCCATTCTTTTGGCTCAATCCATTATGTCCTTAGATCATTTCTTCTCCCCTTTTGCTTTCCATACTTTCCAAATTCTCATGAGTAGTTATTGGAGTTCCTTCTAGTCATCATTCAACGATTATTTGTAATATTTAGTTCTTTCCATTTTCCCTCATAAGTCAGTACCCCTAGATTCTTCATCTTTAGCTGTCATTCTTCTCTAAGTCCCCTCCAGTTTGTGAATATTTTCCATGTCCTTCAATAGTAGAATTATATGCTCTTTATTTGGGTCAATTACAGCAGGAATTGACATGAAGAGGTCCTAATTAAAACACAACTTTTCAAAAGATTG